AGGTTTTTCAAGGAAGCAAGGCTTCTTCAAAGCCTCAACCACAAGAATGTAGCGAAGTTCAAAAAAGTATGTATCGAACCGCCGGCGATAATGATGGGGTTCGTAGCGTTTGATTTTAAATTATTTTGTTCCGATAACGGGAACAAACAAGTCAGCAACCTGCAGGCTTTTCTTGGGTACTTGGACGAGAATGGCGCCGCTGATACATTCCCGCCATTCCTATACCAAAAAATTGCCTTTGATATAGCCTATGGCTTACAGTATCCATATATACAGGGTGTATAAAAAAAACGCAACCTCGGAATTTTCTAAGAAATACTTTGCAATTCTTAAGCCTAAAAGTTTTAGGCCCCTGGGAATTGAAATCGAATTGCTAATAGATCATATTACTGTTGTTGTGCATTAAATAAATGCATAAATTTTGCTTTATGCACTCGCGTGTGCAATAATTTTGACAGTTGTGCTATTTTAAATTCCCAGGCGCCTAAAATCTTTTATCTTAAAACCATGTCGATTTCTTGGGAAATTCCGAGGTTGCGTTTTTTTATACACCCTGTATAAAATGCCCGCCATTTTGACACTTCGTACCTCCTTTAATCCTTTTTAATCCTTCCTCACAATAGGTGATTAATTAATGAGCTGGCTAAAGGTCGTGGGTCAAAATATGCCGAAGGTCAGGAAATATATCTACATATATCACAACGAATTTTTTGTCACTTGAAGCGAGGGATATTGGAGAGCGACAAAACTTAAATACTCATTATAAAATGAGTTATAGTTATAGCACCGAAAGTTAACTCATTTGTTTAATTAATTAAGTACATTCAACTTAGCCGAGCAAGTGTGCTTCAATACTAAAATTCTGGCAAATTTACAGGGAAATTTTTGTCTGAATGAAGATTTAATTCATTTGAAAGGGTTCTATTTTAAGGGCAGAATGTCTTCCTACTAGGAAAGTTTCTACCGCTTGTTCCGGAAACCTGAAACTTAATGGATTACAGGCTAGGCTTGGGTAAATTATGCGCGCGGCATAATTTCGAGCATAATAGGGCTTCAGAAGCATAATAGACACTTACGACGATAGTCGGCATAATTGGCCGTTTTCGAGCAAACATTTCAAAAATAATACTTTGGCTTTGGGGCTAGAGTCTAAAGAAATAAAAAAAAATAAATGAGACTATAGCACAGGCCAGGATCCTGGGCACTAGTAAAACAATGAGTTTTGTCACGAGAGTTGACAAAACAATGAATTAGTTGTAAATGCTTTGACTGTATTTAGAGGTCCCACTCAAAAAGTCAGATCTGGCAAGTTTGAACATTTTTCTACCTATTAAAATAGAATTTTTCTCGAGCAAAATTCGAACATAATAGGCTGTTTCACGATAATTCTATATCATAATAATGATCCCGACGAATAAATAGTGGCAAAACTATACCTGCGCGTGCGATCAACTGTACCCCAAGTGATGATCGGCAATCACAAGTTAGTCATGATCAGCTACAATTTTGCACTGAGAACTTAACCTTGAAGCAGGGAAGTAAAGCATCAAAAGACCTCATATAAATATATACGTATGTGTATGTATATCAAATTACTCTGTAATTCCTCACTTGTAAAATATAACCTAGTATCATTCGATTAAAACATATGCAGTTGAAACTTGAATATATGAAAACGTTTCTTTTCTGAATTGCCGTTGTTTTGTATTTTGTAAAGATTCTGAGTGGATTTTTCAGAATCTTCAATACTGTAAGTAAAATACATGAAAACAGTACTAAGTTCGCGCAACAATGCATCATCAATCTTCAGTCATTATTTTCTATACAATCTCCGTTTTGATTGTGTAATTATGACATCACACCTGCAGATATAGCTTTCTGAATGTAAATATGACATCGGTTCCATTCTGCCAGCAGAAAACGAGCTTCTTTACATGCAGAACATATAAAACCATGGCCCATGGCGAGATTTGTTTTTGTAACTAAAAAAGAAGCGAAATAAACGAAATACACTAAACGAGCTTACAAACCAACCTCGTTCCCAGGCTCTTTGCTCTTGGGAAGCAAAGACCCTGGTCGGAGCTGGTCACGTGACCCATAGAAAATTGATAGCCCAAGGGGGGATGGAAAAGTCTCATATTACATGTTTCCACTTCCGCACTTTTTGGTTTCTGTTTGCTTTTAAATTATACAAACATGCTAAAATGCAGATTCTTATAGCAACAGAAAATTCAGGAAATCAAGCAACGAGAACGTATGACTGTACGCTTTGAAATATTTTTATTTTCTCGGGGTTCCCCGATTCGGGCGTAGTTTCATTTCACGCGTACGTTTCTGTTCTGGCTCTGATATTTATAATATGCTTATAATATGCCAATGAATTGTTCTGATATGGACACGGTGTAAATTTTGTTAAACAGATGTCTCAAAAGCGACTGTTTATAGGTCGTAGGATTAGCGCCTTGCCGGTCTTAAACGTGACACATTTGGACACAAGCCAAATACACATTGAATGTCCATTCTATTGATTCTAAAACTGTTTATAGACATATTGCTCTAGATTTTTTTTAAAGGTTATCATCGTTTATATTAAACACCAGGAAGACAAAATATAACGTACAAAATTGTTTGAAATCGACAGTGCACAGCTGACATACGTGACAATTCACAACTGCATGAATTTCCTTTTTTGTCGATCTGCACGAGTACCTGTTTGTTGAAGCCAAAATATTGCACAGCATCTCCTATAAATTCTATCGCCATTTACCCTCCCCTTAAATGCAAAGGAATGACAGCAGAAAAGGTTTAGCAAAGTATTTTTTATTACATCTGGTATAAAGTGTCCTACGTTTTATCAGGATATGCATAATTCATAAACTGTATATGCACACGAAGTCTCTCTTATATTAATGAGTTTTACTGTAACAAACCTTTTAAAGTTTCCATTGATAGATAGGTTGTTTGCCTCCAGTATTGTTTAGTAAAACAGACTAAACTTCTAAAATGTCGGTTACGGAATACGAAAAAGATTAAAGTTGATTTAAATATTGATAACTCACAGCGGCATTAATCCATTATACAAGTCTAAGGAAGCTGGATTATTCTTCAATAAAGCCCTCAATGGACAATGCCAATGTCAATGAAAGGTCTAATATTATACATGTTGCAAATTACTGTATACACAAAATATGAAATAATTTATATAAAGTACAAATACCAGTGTCTGGTGCATATATCGTCGTAGATATTCAAGTTGTACCGCACGCACGGAAACGCACGGAGGAGTCTTGGCGTTTGTGTGATAACAGATAGCTAGCTACACTTCGACATTATCTTTCTTGATCGTTGAGTTTCAGTAATGTAAATGAAATGAATTTTATAGCCAGTCCATAACGGTTTTAATCCTGTGCTTTTACAGTCAAAATAGCACTATTGTTTACACATGTTGGCGATGTTTGGGAAATCAATTCAAAGGATCCCGTTATAAAATAAATCTTTTGTTTTGAATATCGGACAGGATACACTTCAACTATAAAGAACCATATCGTTCGTTTAATACCGTTTGATCGATCAGTCTGTGTAGAAGATATGTATGTTTCTACGGCGATACGTGCTAAACTTCGCAAGCCAGGCGCGTGTGGAGTGTTTTCCTTGCAAGTGAAATATGATCCAGCTTCTCGCTTGAAATGTAACGCAACACTTATTATTGATGACATTCGGTACAGCAGGAAGTCTTGTCATGATCGGTATGAATTTAGAACAGTTCCTTTCACAATCTCTTGTTGCAAATTACATTTTTATCACCCGAAATTATAACACATAAAGTTGCAATTTTCCAAACGCAACAAACAGACTCCTCTACTACCCCTCCCTGAGGTCAAATTCAATTTACCCCCAAAATCTGGGGGTTCACGTGACCAGCTCCGACCAGGGTCTTTGCTTCCCAAGAGCAAAGAGCCTGGGAACGAGGTTGTCTCATACCCAGAGGCCTTCTTACGCGCGATTAACGGAGCGCACAAGGCGCTCTGGCCAAATCCATATCAAACTGGCATTTGATTGGCTACACCGAAGGTTACTGTTCTAATACCGGATATATTCTATTACCATGTTTTTATGGTATCCGGTTATGGATTTGGCCAGAGCCACTCGTCGCACCGCGCGTAAGAAGGGCTCTGGGTACGAGAATGGTCTCAATCACGAAAACGAGGCTCAATCAGCTCAATAGTGTGACCACTGAGCTATAATACTAGTATAACAAAAAGTTAGTGAATTGCTGCCGTACGTGTATTCGCATTGCAAACTTGCAAAAAAGTTGGCGCCTTGATTACCTTATGTTTGACATGAAGGCCTGGTTACCAGTCGCGTCTCAACATCAGTACTAACCAGTGCGCTAAGAGGCATTCACTCCCTAATAATATTCAAAATGGCGAACCTCCATAAG